CGCTCTGTTACAATGTGTAGAAGTCTTCACTGATCGCACATTCTTGTTGCCTACAACCCAGATAAACACAACATCTCACTCTGCACCAACATCTCACCCAAACACGCAGTACACCACCCACACACCCAATTCTCCAAAGGACCAGCATGAGTATCAACATTGGCGACGTGCAGACCCACGACCAGTTTGAGCTACTCGAAAAGATGGGACGGAAGCCAAAGCATCGCGCCGGTACAAGCTCGGCCCAAAACGCTTCGCTCAAAATAGGCCTCACTACGCTATCTTTGCTGATCGTACGAGTGTTGACAGGAAAGACCACTCTGCTCAAAACATATCATAGACCTTCGGTTGACCTCCCTGCTTCACGACACCACAAACATGCATTCACCTCTCTTGTGTTCTGGAATGTTCACGTGATTTCCCTCCAACCTGTTGCACGTGCAGTGTTTAGCTTTGTGTGGTTGCTCGATGTTCCATGCTCTTGCATAGCACACCACATAACCACACAACTCTCAACAAACACTGCCACGTCGCCACTTTGCGTTGTCGACAATTCTTGTCTTCTGCTCTGTTTCTTTTTGTTGGAGTATTCATTCATCGTACATCCTTGTTTGCTTCACAACTCAAGTAAACACACACAACTCACTCTTGCCAAGACAATCTCCCACACAACACACAGCACACACACACACACACACAAGTCTCCAAGCACCAGCATGAGTATTCAACACTTGCGGCGTGCAGACGCACTGCCCAGCTGAGCTGGCTCGAAAAGATGTGGAAGGAAGCCAAAGCACGCGCCGGTACCATGCTCGACCCAAAACGCTTCGCTCAAATTGAGGCCTCACTCCGCTCTCTTTTGCTGATCGTATGAGTGTTGACAGGCAAGCCCACTCTGCTCAAATCATATCATTGACCTTCGGTTGACCTCCCTTCTTCACGACACCACAAATTCACATTCACCTCTCTTGTGTTCTGGAATGTTCACGTGATTTCCCTCCAACCTGTTGCACGTGCAGTGTTTAGCTTTGTGTGGTTGCTCGATGTTCCATGCTCTTGCATAGCACACCACATAACCACACAACTCTCAACAAACACTGCCACGTCACCACTTTGCGTTGTCGACAATTCTTGTCTTGTGCTCTGTTTCTTTCTGTTGGAGTGTTCATTCATCCTACATCCTTGCTTGCTTCACAACTCAAGTAAACACACACAACTTCCTCTTGCCAAGCCAATCTCCCACACAACACACAGCACACACACACACACACACAAGTCTCCAACAACAGCACCACCACCATGAACTTGCAACAGATTATGAGACCCAGCTCAATTAGCGCAGACGGTATCAAGGTCTTCGCTGGCGCTGAGCAGGATGCCAACCTCTTCTTCATCACCGTCGAGGCCAAGCTCATCGCCGCTGGCATCGACGCTGGCATCATCGCCGAGGGTGGTGCTGACCACCAAGGAGACGGGCAGGCTCCAGCAGCTGCCTCATCGCCGAGCCCAAGCGCCCACGGTGCTTCGGGTCCCCGCACTCGCTCCCGCGCTCAACGCGGCCCTCGCCGCACTGGCGTCCGCCATGACGCCGGGGACCACGACGACGATGACGACGACGAGGGCGATGGCGACGACCACGGCGCTCAGCCATCTTCCTCCTCTTCCTCTCTCCCTTCTTCCGCCACTCCGAGCGGAGGAGTGCAGGTGGCGTCCCCAGCCTCTGGCCTGCTGGATCCCCGTGATCCACAGGTTGACGCAGCCATCTTCGCGTTCCTCCTTGGCGTCCTGACGGGACACCCGCTGCGGCTGGCCATCACCGACAACCGTGGCCGCTCCGGTGTGCTTGCGCTGCGCCGCCTCCGCGAGCGCTACATCCGCAGCGGCAAGGACCACGTCAGCCGCCTCAGGCAGCAGCTCTCCTCGACCACCTGGTTGCCCACGGACACCGTCGACACGTTCATGTCCCGCATCACGGACATCAACTCGCAGCTCCTCGCTGCCGGCGTGTCCATCCCGGAGGACGACCTGCGCACCCTCGTCCGCAACGAACTCCCCGCAGAGTTTGATGTGGCGATGCGGTTCATGGAGCGCGAGGACCCGCCGCCATCGCTGTCCAAGATGACGGCGGACCTCATCCAGGAAGAGCGCCGCCTGCATCGTCCCAAGAAGCGCACGCCCGTGCTCGCCATCGGCGGACCAAGCGCTGGCTCCTTCGCTGCATCGCCGATGCACGCTGGCACGTCGCCCTCCGACACGAGCGGTGGACCATGCTGTCCACCTGCAGAGCGCGTGACTTGCGCGTTCTGCAACTTCCGCGGCCACTGCGCGCAGCAGTGCCGCAAGCTGCAGGCGGCCAAGCGCTACCACGTCTTCCACATCACACAGTAAACCCACACAAACACACGCAGACAAGTGAGCATACCACTACGCTAACGCACGCACACACAAACACACGTACATCCTCTGCTTGTCTTGCGTTCGACATGGCACAACGGCCCTCAGCGCGTGGAGACCTTCGCCATCCACCACGATGCCCTCATGCTGCAGCCCGAGGACGAGGAGGAGGGCCACGCCATCGGACCAGTGCCACCACAGCTGTGGCTCGCTGACAGCGGTGCCACGGCGCACATCACCAGCGACGCCTCCCTCCTCACCAGCTACATCTGTGGAGAGACGAGTCCGTGTCATGTGCATGTGGATGTGTTTGCTTATGTCCGGAAAGCTGGAGACAGCATGAATAGTTCTGCGATCCAACCGGTTCTGTTGTGGTTGTATTACTTCTGTTTTCTTCGTTCAAGCTGTGTGTTGCTTCCACACAAAGTGCGGTATTGCACATGTTTGCGTGTTGTTCTTCGTCCAATCTCTTTGTTGTTTCTGCCACAATGCGGGAGTGCTTCACTTGTGTTCATTCATCCTTGTTCCCGTCTGACTTCCACATCACACAGTAAACCCACACAAACACACGCAGACAAGTGAGCATACCACTACGCTAACGCACGCACACACACAAACACACGCACATCCTCTGCTTGTCTTGCGTTCGACATGTCACAACTTGCCTGTCAACAGTAACCTCCACCTCGAGTGCTTCACAGATCGACAGATCGCGCTTCACTTTCGGTGAGATACTTCAGCAACCTGCCTTCCTCGAACACCCATGTACTGAATCCCTCACGCTGCATGATCCTGCTGTTGTAAGTTCATGGTGGTGGTGCTGTTGTTGGAGACTTGTGTGTGTGTGCTGTGTGTGCTGTGTGTGCTGTGTGTGCTGTGTGTTGTGTGGGAGATTGTCTTGGCAAGAGTGAGTTGTGTGTGTTTACTTGAGTTGTGAAGCAAACAAGGATGTAGGATGAATGAACACTCCAACAGAAAGAAACAGAGCAGAAGACAAGAATTGTCGACAACGCAAAGTGGTGACGTGGCAGTGTTTGTTGAGAGTTGTGTGGTTATGTGGTGTGTTATGCAAGAGCATGTAACATCGAGCAAACACACAAGCTAAACACTGCACGTGCAACAGGTTGGAGGGAAATCACGTGAACATTCCAGAACACAAGAAAGGTGAATGCAAATTTGTGGTGTCGTGAAGAAGGGAGGTCAATGATGACTCAGCAGACAGGACTTGCCTGTCAACACCTGCGTTGACATTTCGAAGCTTTCAGTCACTCAAAGACATGCAGCGTGTGGCCCGTTCGTTGCGACTGAATGACTTCTACGGTATCAAATATCGCAATCGGTGAGAGTGCGTGGCTGTGTTTGAATCACACGCTGCGTGGCATGCATGTGAATGAGTTCTCAACATTCATGCACTTCTCCAAGCGTTGAAGGCTTTGTTGCCTTTGCGCTGCTGCTGAGGCGCTTGGCCTTTCCTTGTCGATTGGTTGACCTTCTCCAGATATTCTATTTGGACTGGCCACTCTCCAAGCTCAGCCAGGCGTTGAAAGAGATTGCGGTTGATCTCGCCACACCGTTTCATCGGAAGGTCAGTGTGTGTCTATGCATGTGTGTGTGTATGTGTGGGTGGCGTGTGTAGGTGGGTGCCACATGAGCACATGAACTCACGCAGGCATGGTAGCATGCTGATTTCAACGTGGTTGCTAGGACCATGTGTACCATTTGCTGCAGGTGTACTTCTGCGACTCACTGTTTACAGTCCCGTGGCTGGCAAAGTACATTCGTGCAATTGAGGGTGTGCATGGCGGTCCACCAACTGACAGCATGAAAAGGCGCATCATTGGGTTTATTGACGGGACCATCGTTGGTGAGGGTTTGTGCCGGGTGCTCACGTCTGTTGCGCTTGGTGCAGTGGCTGTCAACATAACCCCATTTATGCTGATCACACACCTCTTCCCTGCACATGCATTGACACTTCAATGGCAGCTATTGCTCGACCGGGACATCACAACCACGCCAGTTACTCTGGGTGAGTAAATTCTTCCTCGTGTGCTTGTTACACTGTCATGAGATGATCCCCTTGCCAGTCACACTGAGTCTCGTGATGTCCCTTGCCTGCAGGTACAAGAAACTCCATTGCTTGCGATACCAAGTTCTGACTTTGCCATCAGGCATGATTGGGGCTATGCCAGGACCGTATCCAGGTCGGTGGCATGACTCCAAACAGCTTCGCCGAAGTAGGATTGTGCGGAAGTTGCGTGGCCGTTGTGCCCTTCTCGGCGACTCCGCATATGCCACCGACAAGAACGTTTGGCCTCTTCAGAAGCAGCTCGAAGAGGGAACGGCAGCATTTGAACGCAGGCGACGATTGAGCTCGCTCAGGGTGTCTGTTGAGTGGAGCATTGGCCGTAAGTGTGTATGCGTCTCTGTGTGTGTGCGTCTTCGTGCGTGTGTGCGTTTTTGTGCGTGTGCCTGTGTGCGTGCGTGCGTGTGTGCGTGCGTGTGTCTATGTGTGTGCGTGTGTGTGTGTGTGTGCGTTTGTGTGCGTGCGTGAACTCAGCTTTCGCACACGTCACCTGTGCACCCCACGTCTGGTTTTGTTGGATGCCTATGCATGAAGTATTGAAGGTGCATTGGAAGTTCCTCAAGTATCCCCCTGGCCTTCGTATCGAACACAGCCCTATTGCGGCGGACATAACGTGTGCATGTTTGTTTGAGAACTGTTTGACGTGCTTGTACGGGAATTCGATCTCCCGTCGGTTTGGAGTAGTCCCACCCACATTGGAACGCTTCATGTCACAATGAAGTGCAGCGTTTCTGTTTGTCAAGGTTAGATGTTCTGTGTGTATGTGTGGTGTTTGTGTGTGTGTGTGTGGTGTGTGTGTGTGTGTGTGCGTATGTGCGTATGTGCGTGTGTATATGCGTGTTCGAGGTTTCTGAGCCGGTGTGGTCGGGACTACCCGGTCGTATGCGTTTGGTCGTGTGTTTACTCTAATGTAACAAGTACAAAGCAAAGTGTATATTCGCGCTGATGATGCTATTGATGTTGCAAGTTCATGGTGGTGGTGCTGTTGTTGGAGACTTGTGTGTGTGTGTGTGTGTGTTGTGTGGGAGATTGTCTTGGCAAGAGTGAGTTGTGTGTGTTTACTTGAGTTGTGAAGCAAACAAGGATGTAGGATGAATGAACACTCTAACAGAAAGAAACAGAGCAGAAGACAAGAATTGTCGACAACGCAAAGTGGTGACGTGGCAGTGTTTGTTGAGAGTTGTGTGGTTATGTGGTGTGCTATGCAAGAGCATGGAACATCGAGCAACCACACAAAGCTAAACACTGCACGTGCAACAGGTTGGAGGGAAATCACGTGAACATTCCAGAACACAAGAGAGGTGAATGCATGTTTGTGGTGTCGTGAAGCAGGGAGGTCAACCGAAGGTCAATGATATGATTTGAGCAGAGTGGGCTTGCCTGTCAACACTCATACGATCAGCAAAAGAGAGCGGAGTGAGGCCTCAATTTGAGCGAAGCGTTTTGGGTCGAGCATGGTACCGGCGCGTGCTTTGGCTTCCTTCCACATCTTTTCGAGCCAGCTCAGCTGGGCAGTGCGTCTGCACGCCGCAAGTGTTGAATACTCATGCTGGTGCTGTTGGAGACTTGTGTGTGTGTGCTGTGTGTGCTGTGTGTTGTGTGGGAGATTGTCTTGGCAAGAGTGAGTTGTGTGTGTTTACTTGAGTTGTGAAGCAAACAAGGATGTACGATGAATGAATACTCCAACAAAAAGAAACAGAGCAGAAGACAAGAATTGTCGACAACGCAAAGTGGTGACGTGGCAGTGTTTGTTGAGAGTTGTGTGGTTATGTGGTGTGCTATGCAAGAGCATGGAACATCGAGCAACC